GAGAATGAGAATGAGAATATGAATGAATTTGATTTCATTTGATTTTTCACAGCATCAGCCCCTTAAAGGAAGGTGAGATTCCTAAGAGATCAGTAGAGAGCACTAGGGAGCTCGCTGCTGTGTTGCCATGGTGATGATGGCAATGGTAATGACAGTGGCACCAGATTTCCCAGTTCCTGGGAAGCCCCTCCGGCTCCCGCGGGTGGGCGGCGGCGATCGGTGCGGCAAATCCGCGCTCGCACCCGGGCCTGCGGGGCAGGGGCGCGGCGCTCGATTTCCTTCCCTGTCTCCGCAGCCCCTGTGCGCATGCTCGGCCTACGCGGCCCCAGCCTTTGATTGATCGGTCGGCAGCGGCTGCGACCCTGGGCTGCTGACGGGCGGGGATGGGGAGCCCGGCGCTGGGAGCGGCGCAGTGATCAGCTGTGGCGGCCGGTGAGTACCGGTGAGTACCGCGGCATGGGGCTCCGCAAGAAGAACACCAGGAACCCCCCGGTATTGAGCCACGAATTCATGGTGCAGAACCACGCGGATATGGTCTCCTGCGTGGGCATGTTCTTCGTGCTGGGACTTATGTTCGAGGGCACGGCCGAGATGTCGATCGTGTTCCTCACCCTGCAGCATGGAGTAGTTGTCCCAGCGGAAGGGCTGCCCTCTGGGTCCAGGACCCTGTACCATTATGGGGTCAAAGATCTGGCCACTGTGTTCTTCTACATGCTGGTGGCCATCATCATCCATGCCACCATTCAGGAGTACGTGTTAGATAAGCTCAGCAGGAGACTGCAGCTGACCAAAGGCAAACAAAACAAATTGAATGAGGCCGGGCAGCTGAGTGTGTTCTATATAGTGTCTGGTATCTGGGGCATGATCATTCTGGCCTCTGAGAACTGCCTGTCAGACCCCACTCTTTTGTGGAAGTCTCAGCCCCACAACATGATGACATTTCAGATGAAATTTTTCTACATCTCACAGTTGGCTTACTGGTTTCATAGTTTTCCGGAGCTCTACTTCCAGAAAGTCAGGAAGCAAGATATCCCGGGTCAACTCATCTACATTGGCCTCCACCTCTTCCACATTGGAGGGGCGTATCTCTTGTACTTGAACCATCTGGGCCTGCTGCTTCTGATGCTGCACTATGCTGTCGAGCTCCTCTCCAGCGTGTGCAGCCTGCTTTACTTTGGTGATGAGCGGTACCAGAAAGGGTTGTCTTTGTGGCCTATCGTGTTTATATCCGGGAGACTGGTGACATTGATTGTCTCGGTGATTACAGTAGGGCTTCACTTGGCCGGGACAAATCGGAATGGTAATGCTCTCTCTGGTAATGTCAATGTGTTGGCAGCGAAAATCGCTGTTCTGTCGTCGAGTTGCAGTATCCAGGTGTACATAACATGGACCTTGACTACCGTCTGGCTTCAGAGATGGTTAGAAGATGCGAATCTTCATGTTTGTGGGAGGAAGAGGCGGTCCAGGTCGAGAAAAGGCACAGAGAATGGAGTGGAAAATCCGAATAGAATAGATTCTCCACCAAAGAAGAAAGAGAAAGCTCCTTAAGCAGTTGCAAGCTAATTGAGTCTTATCTCCAAGGGAATCCACTCCTTACTATGTGGTGTCTCTGTGCTAGAGATTTTCTGTTCTTCAGAACGGGTCCTGCTTTTTGAATAATGCTATTGTATTGTCTAATGTGTTTTTAAGGTTTTGCAGCTGTATGAGTGGGGGCAGGGAGGAATTAAGACTAAACCACTCAGCCTCTAAATACTGTAAGAATAGTTAACCGACCAACATCATATTTAGTTTAGGTTGTTACCTCAACGATTTTCCATACGTTTCGTGGTGATGGCTGCAGAATTGTGTGTATAAATAATAATTTCCTGCTTCCAGCGTTCTTTATCGCATTAACAAGACTGATAGCAAAGTGGTTTTCTCTATGTTCTCTTGCAGGATAAAGTGGAAAATCTGATAAAGGTTGAACTCAAATCAGTATTATGTAATCGTTGGGATTTTTAAAATTGTTTTAAATTTACAACGGAAAGTATTTGTCAAACCACCAAAACTATGTGTTTAATTTTATAAGTAGTGATTGTTAGTGCTACACCCTATCGCCCCCATTAAAGCATCAAAATGTGAACAGATGACACGTGTGGTGATATTGACATTATTAAATCAAAATACCTTTAATAAATATGATGTTACTGAAGAGGTAAACAACTTCTTCCTGTTTATTTTAAACACTTGTCCAGGAAAACTCACAAAATTCAGTATTACTGAAAAAAATAATCTTATCTACTCTTAATATTTATTAAGAATGGTTTTCACAGATTCATAAATTCGGTGAAAGCAGTGTATCAGAAGAACATTATTTAATATATAAACAATTTTAAAAATAATGCTATGGATAAACTTGTATATACATATACACTGTTTAAATAATATATATTATGAATACATATTTGTGTGTGTGTGTGTGTGTGTGACAGCTAGTTATATCTGGGGAATATTTGACATATTAAATTCCATTTGAAGATGAAGTGGCCAAATAAATTTATGAATGAATTTTAGAATGATGTTGTTATTGTAGTTTCCACCCCTCAGTTGGGATACATCAGTATAGGGTGATCTTGTTCATTATACATATGCAAATATGTATACAGTTTGTATTCTTTACAGAAGCCATTACAAACTTATGGACTGTGAGGTAAGGATTTATACCTGGCTCAATCCTAATGTTGATTTCATTTCCATAATGTGGGTGTTTTTGCCTTTCAAGGATATGGTAACGGACAGCACCCTGAGTGAAGCCTGTTTGTTTCCTGCATTTCCTGTTTTTCTACAGTTTCTTCTCATGTTTCTCATCTCTGCTTGTGATAGTTTCTTACGTGTGTTAATGATTCAGGTTTCCCAAAAAGTGAGGTCCCTAAAACTTTTTGCTTACCTAGCAGAGTACAGACTGAAAAGCCAAGGGGGAAAAACTTTTCTACTCTGTCTTCTTTCAAAGGTAAGTAACACAGATTCATTTCTTTCTGGATATGGAAGTGGTTTTCCTCACCTCCTTTTCCACATCGACCTAATGGGGTATTGATAGTTTATGCTCTGATTGTAAAGTCATGCACACTTTACCATAACCTGCAATGCAGTTATAAAGCCATATTTCAACTTTTCATATGACTCAGAACTCTCTCTCTCACACATATTCCTTATCTCTAAAAATCTGAACTGTTGTGATCAAACGCATGATAACAAATTTCTTATCTATTAGGCACTTAATTTGCAGATAATCCATGCAAATCTAACTGAACTCACTACAAGATCTCAGGACAACTTTCATTTCATTTCACAAGTGTTAACTTGAACTTAGCAGTATGTTAGCAATGTTTGATTAGGATCTGAATTGATTTCTGTGAGATTCTTAAAGCTCTCTACCCTTCAGATTAACTTCTAACATAGCACCCACTTCATCCCTGTTCCTGCTTTGATTTCTTCAGTGTTCTGGCAAGAAGAAAAAGCAAACCTAAAATCCAAAAGCAAAGCTTCTTGGTGACTTATTCAATGATATGACACTCATGGGATGCTTGGCTTCAGCTGTTTTGTTTGCTTTGCTGGTAGAAAAGGGAAACTACTTTAAAAAAAAACCTATAATTCCACAAGAAATAACAGTTTGGTGAAAAGTTGGAAAGATCCTAGCTATATCTTTCAGTGAGTTCAGGAGATAATGTCAAGAAACAAGTGTGTGCCAATAAGTTATAAAAGACATGCTACAAATTTAATTCAGCCTGGTATGAATTGTCAAGTCTCTTTAAAATCTCAAGAAATTCAAGAAGCACGGGACTAAGGAGAGCATTGGCATTAGTTAGCTGCAGGACATTTTAGATTTACCATTAGAGGCTGGAAAAGTCTTAAGCTGTGTCTGATAGTAAAATCCATAGGTTCTCCTCTGAGGCATGAGCTTCAGTGATTTTGAAACTTTGTTGCTTCAATAAGACGATAAGATATAGATGTCCTGGGATAGATTCCCAACATACCTTGTTTAAAATATGGATCTACTAGCATTTAAATAGAGTTGGTACCATTTTGTTTAGCAAATTGTAAGGATGTATCGTTGCCTTGTAAGGGACAAACAAGCTCTGGTGCCATTATTCCCTGGTGCTAAGTATAACTAACTCCATTTCAATTCCATAATGAAAGTGTGATCTTTGATAACATCACTGAACCCATCTCCCCATGTTTGTCTAACAGTATGAGAATAATGCAGGGCCACTATCATTAATCTTTGGACTACATTGGAAGATTACAATTATCACATTCATAATTGCAACCCCCTTTTAGAGTAAAATATTCTAATAGCCTTTTAATTTGGAGAATAGTTTCTACTTCTTGTTCAACTGGATTAAAAATCATTTTCATCAGGTAAAAGAATTTTACCAGTGTTTTGCATAGGAAAGACTATATTGGCACGTGCGTATGTGTGTGTGTGTCTGTGTGTGTATGATGAATACACTTGTATATGTTTACTATATCTGTGTGCTCATTCGTGTGTGCTGAAATGTGCCTATTGGTCAAAGGGGACCCTGGGTTCTCACCTTCTGCCTTCTTTGAGACAGAGTCTCTATGTGTGCTGCTGATGACCTTTGAGTTTCTAGAGATTCTCCTGGTTCCACCTCCTGTCTCAGGATCACTGGGATTGCAGACATGCACTGTTACATCTGGATTTACCTGAGATTTGAGGATTTGAATTCAGATTCTTACACTTGTGGGGCAAATGCTTTACCTACTGAGACATCTCTCCAATCCTTAAAATGGTTGTAGAGGAAATTGTTCAGGGGAAGTGTGTTTGAGAAGCATGTGGATTCTATGAATTAAACAGGGCCTTGGACTTGGGTCCTTGCTTTATGTCAGAGGTTTCCTTCTATTTGGGAGATAAGACATCTCTCAGAAGCAGCATGGAGAGGGAGGGGGAGGGGGAGGGA